AAAGCCCGGCTTTGGCCCGCCTTCCAACTTCAGCCCATGGGCTCTCACGGTTCCAATAGGGTTTTGCCCGTTTTTGTGCATCCCTTTCCCTCAAGAATCGGAGGTGCCGTCCAAGGCGGTTGCTCAAATGTCATGTCCTGTTTGATAAGCGACTGAACTGTAGTTTACGGAGAGGGGATGGTCTTGTTTTTACGCGTGATTCGTAGTGCTGTTTGTGGACTGCTACAGGTGTCTGCCCCTTGCTGGTTGCCTTGTTGTTTGCCTTTGCGCTTCTATACCAAAGTCGTGGCATTGGTTTCCAAGTGCCAGAGTGTCAAGCCACTCCTGTTCAACATGCACGTTGGTGGCAGTCATGGTCTTGAGGCAATCCAGAGCCCTCTGCGATGCTGCAGTTGAATCATTGAAGGTCGCAGGAAGAGGCTCCACGCTCTTTCTCCAGTTTTCGAAGTTTGCGGGGTACAAGGGCAAGCACAAGTTGGGCGTTTTCTGAAGTCTGAGGCGTGCTTGTGGGGCTTGACGTTCTTGCAAGCGAGTCCATTGCGGGAGCATGTTTACGTGGCTCCGGGAAAGTTCTGTGCAGCCCAAGTGGGGCCATTGAATGGCCATTGGAAGGCCGGGCGCAAGGATTTTCGAGGGCAGGCACTCCAGTGCCAAGCCTCTGACAATGTGACAAAATTCGGCCTAAAAATTGCGGCCGAGCGGCGCTTGGTGGTCCTATTTTCCATTGCCGAGCCAGCGCAGGAAAGGCGTCCGGCGCTCATGAAAGGCGCCGGGATTCGGGCAACCACATTGGCCACGGCCAGATCGCCCAAGCCGTCAGGGCGCCTGTCGGCCTCTGCCACAACTTTGCTGACAGTTGTTCTGCAGAATAATGAATGTTTGCTGCTGTTGTTTGGTTTGTTCCGATAAGTTGTCGAAGCGGCAAAAACAGAAGTAGCAAAAGTAGTAGCATTGTAAAGGACATTGTCGGAGTCTTGGTAGCTGTAGTCGGATTCGGGTGTAAGTAGTAATGGGAGTATTAGTAGTAGTAGTAGTAGTAGTAGTAGTAGCAGTAGTAGTAGCAGTAGCAGTAGCAGTAACAGAACAGTAGCAGTAGCAGTAGCAGTAGCAGTAGCAGTAGCAGTAGCAGTAGCAGTAGCAGTAGCAGTAGCAGTAGCAGTAGCAGTAGTAGTAGTAGTAGTAGTAGTAGTAGTAGTAGTAGTAGTAGTAGTAGTAGTAGTAAGTAGTAAGTAGTAAGTAGTAAGTAGTAAGTAGTAAGTAGTAAGTAGTAAGTAAGTAGTAAGTAGTAAGTAGTAAGTAGTAAGTAGTAAGTAGTAAGTAGTAAGTAGTAAGCAGTAAGCAGTAAGCAGTAAGCAGTCAGCAGTGAGCAGTGAGCAGTGAGCAGTAAGCAGTAAGCAGTAAGCAGCAAGCAGTAAGCAGTAAGTAGTACATAGTACGTAGTAGGTAGTAGGTAGTAGGTAGTAGGTAGTAGGTAGCAGGTAGTAGGTAGTGGGTAGTGGGTAGTGGGTAGTAGGTAGTAGGTAGTAGGTAGAAGGTAGTAGGTAGGTAGTAGGTAGTAGTAGTAGTAGTAGTAGTAGTAGTAGTAGTAGTAGTAGTAGTAGCAGTAGTAGTAGTAGTAGTAGTAGTAGAAGTGGTAGAAGTGGTAGTAGTAGTACTCGTAGTCGTAGTCGCAGCAGTAGTAGCAGCAGCAGCAGCAGCAGTAGTAGTAGTAGTAGTAATAGGAGTACGCTACTACAATTAGTACTAATTGTAGTAGGCGATAAACATTAGAAGCAGCAACAATAGTTGTAGTAGCCGGAGTCATACTAATCATAGCAGAAATGGTAGTGGTAGCAGGAGAAGGAGACGGAAAAGAGGTTGTGGTGGTGCCGGTGGTTGTGGTGGTGCTCGTGCTGGAAGCGGTAATTTGTGTGGGTTCTGTTGGCTTGCCAAGTTCCGAAAGGACATGGCAGATATCCAAGATGATGGGCATTCGGTGTTCCAGCGGAATTGGTTTTGCTCGACCTGGGGAAAGTTGGGATTCTATTGCTAGCCTGCCGTCGCAACATATTAGCTAACATTCATGTGTTTGTTTGGCTTATCCATTCAGTGGAGCAATACACCAATCCGGCTCTTTTCCAAGTCTTTGTTACTGCTCGTTTCTAGTCTTTTCCCTACATGCAGCCGGGAGTGAGCATTACTTGGGCGAGTCATTGGGTCATTGCTCACTTTGGCGGCGAGCGATGGCGGCAAAACAAGTGCGAGAGTGCAAACCTCTGCTCAAGCAGGCGTGGAGATACTCATGCTGACAGAAGTTTCCTATGTTGAAGATTTATAATTTTGCATCTTGCATCCACAAGAACCCGCTGGACCTCCAGGCTAAAGTGGAGACAGAATGTTGCACGCATGCCCTTGCATTGGTGACTGCATCTACTCAATCTGGAGGCTTGAGTGCTGCAACGAAATGAAGAGAGTGTGTCATTTAGATGCCATGCATGCGGAGAGCCCAAGGCCCTTTGCTTCTTTTGAGTAGCGGAGTCCGATCTGAAGGGTTGAAAGCGTTGTGTGACTGCTTGCTTGCATGTGGATATCTTGCTTGCATGTTGACTGGAACTGATGGGAAAGAATGTGCCAGCGACGTTGGGGACATGCTGATGTTGAGCATTTCCCGTGACTTGGTTAGACTCTCCTCGCCTGTTCAGCTTGGCAGCCATTTCGGGAGGGATGCGTTTAGTTCAGCCTCGGACGGCAGAACAATAGTACGAAGTCTGCAGGAATCATGGTGTGGCTTTGTTGCTTGTTCCAGTTGAGCAGAACAATACAGAACTTCGGAGCAAGCCAAGTAGCATTCTGATTGCGCACCATCTGACCCAAAAAGAATGAGATACTGTGTTGGAATTTTGAATGACATCGGAATGCTTTTACAAAGAACACACCAAGCCTGTAGCATCTAGCCAACACCAACGCGGCGCAAGATTATGCCAGAGCATAGCCATTCAGTCAAAACGCCATACATTGCTACCAAATGGGGGGCAAACAAACGATTGGTGATTCGGTGTACGAAATTGAGGTCGGCAATTCGTATTCTTCAGATAGCAACTTGGGTCTATTTGCAGTTTGGATTCGTTAGATATCACATTTAGCATTCATTCGAAATTTGGGTTCGTTGTTTCATCATGAGATGTCAAATCCGGCCCATTAGCTTGTAGGCTTGTAGACTGTGTGATGCAAGACATATGTATGTGTATATATATATATATAGTACCCCTCCCCCCCAAAGAAGACACACACAAGCTCTCTGATTTTGCGTACTAACTGCATTTTGCTCCCCTCACCAACCCAAACAAAACTGGTATGTCTGGCATTTGGCCCCACTTCCCCCTCAAAAACCTCAAGAAGTATCATGCGCAATTTAGCAGGTATTGCAACCACCAAACAAACACGTTAACACAACATTTCGGACATGTTTGTCAGGTTCCGGTTCCGTGGGAAGTGTTGCATAAGGTTTCCAATCTTTGCAACGTGTTTTGTAACTTGCGAACCAAGCTGAGAGCCTCGGAAATGTTGCGCAACATTTGCGCTTCTTCCAAATGCTTATATTTGGGAGGGTGGGCTGGAGTCGGAACCGTTTGTTTTTTACTGCCCCGGCCGGGGCTTAACCCCGGTCAAGTGGCTGGTTTGTTGGTTGGTCGGTTGGTTGGTTGGGCCTCCGCATCCCCAGCATCCCTGGTTACTTGGTGGTAGGGCTGCGTATTGGCTTTCATTTGGTGGCAGTTGAGAGTTACTCCTGCGATTGCGTGAGTTTTGTGATAGTTGTGGTGGTTTGGGGCCCAAACCGACCCAAAGTCAACCTTAAACCCACCCACCAGCATCCTGGATATCAGACCTTTGCCGAGCCGAAATGACCCCAAACAAGCCCAAGCCCGACCTGCCGCATTAAGATCTCAGCCAAAAACTCACCCGAACTCAGCCCCGAGCAACTCGCAACTCCCACAATGTCAGGGAAGGAATTCACTCCTATCCAAATTGCTATTTGAAACTGAAATCCAAAGCAACTAAAACGTGCTTCATGCCCTTGTGCAGTTCCAATAACATCATTAGTTGTTTATACGTACATTTAATACGAATTCAAATACATCGCAATTCAACACGATCATTTGTTTAAAATTTAGAATATCAGTGAATTCATATATGTCCTATCAAAATTATATATGCGTTGTTTATTTAGCAGTATGTCGAGTCATACGGAAATCGAATATGAGAATAACATCCACTCTTAATGCTTTTCAAGTTCAATCCTAAATGGACTTGAACCGATATTTGTTCCTTGCACTTTCCGAATGAAAACACATGCAGAGAGCAAGTGCTGAAATTGCTACTTGAAATTGAAATCAACCTCAAAATTCAAATGGTTATTTGTCCTTATCTAAGTCCATGTAATTTTCGCTGAGCACGAAAGTCTGTTAATCAACGCGGAGCTGTCCTTGAAGAACGCGTAGTTTTTTTCAGCATTTGTCAGATTGTCGTTCCTCCCCTTCAGAAAAGGTCAAACTGGGCACTTTGTGTCGTTTTGCCCGCCAAACATGAGGCTCAACCCGGGCACCGCCCACATCGAACAAGAAGGGCCTCATTTGAACTGGAGCTGCCACAGCGTACTTCACTTGCTACAGGTGGGTGAGATTAAAGATTCAAGATGCAGGGAAAATGTGTCTGGGGAGTCGTGAGCCTTGAATGTCATTTACCTCAAGTGGCTTTGCAGATCATGTTTCACAAGATTCAAGATTCAGAAGAAACAAATACAGGGAATCTTGAAACATCCAATGTTGGCAGGCTTTCAGAGGGGCAGTAGTATACATTACATGTATATATATATATATATATATACATATGTAGATATACGTATGCATACTTGGCATCGCAACATGAGGCCATCGGCAACTTTTGCAGGTGATATCAATTGTTTTAAGGGTTGGGTGCCAACGTTTTATCCCTGTAAAGCTTCAGAGGGCACGCGTAACAACATAGTGAAGGCGCAACTAAACCCCCCCGAGCCCATGGAGACCTGCGCTCCGATCTCGGGGCCTGGAGCTTGCGCGGTGCCGCCGGTGACCTTGCTGGCTCTGGCGCTGCTGCTGCTGGTCACGTCGCTGCTGCTGTGCCGTGGAACAAAGGGGCCCCCTTTTTCGCGAATGCGCGCATGTGTGTGTGTGTGTGGCTG